GTCGTCCGCAATGCTAATTCAGTGTGCAAACGATCATACCTGCGTGTAGGGCCTCTCGCACTCGCGGTATACATTAATGCCTATTGATTGCGCGTGTGCGTGTTTGACGCTTGCCCGTGTGTTGCGGTTACAACAAGCACATACCCACCTTTGACGTTTTGAATTGTGACGATCAAAAGGACTCGCCACCGCCTCCACCAAATCGATCCGCAATTAACATATGCAGCACACTCCAACGCTCCCTCAAAAGTGCACATGCATTTACACTGACAAAGAGAATCGAATCGAACACCCTTGGTGTGGTGTCCATGCTAATTTCTTTTTCTTTTTTTTCATTTTGATTGTGTAAATTTATAAGCTGTGGGGAGATGAATGTGAGCAATAAGTGGGCCTCCATCTATGAGACTAACCTATTCGGCTTGTAATGCTCTCCACGTTCCACTAACATGGAAGTACGTCGATTATATTAAATAATTTTAAAGATGTACACTCATAAATAACTCAAAGCACTCAGTTTCCTAATTTTCTTGTAGTTATAGAAGTGCGTTTTTTTTGCAAGAAGTAAAATTGTCATCAAAGCCGATCAAAAGAATGTTGTAGCCTCCATTTTTTGCATGTATGGAAAAAAAACCTCAAAGTAATACATCATAAAGCCCCACAAATAGTCTTGTCAATTTTTTTTTCCGTGATTGTATCAACATCGAGGCCTGCACCACAAGGTCATTCTACGATTGATGTTTGAATAATGTTTATATTTATGAAGGCCGATTGTTTATACACAATACTGCGTACCTAAGTCATTTTCCTATGGAAACGAATCGTTTTAGCATGGACATAGTTTTGCTCCCACCTCCTAGTGGCTTGATTCCACCCTTCACAAAGGCAAAATTTGTGCAAGGTGCAAAAGTTAAACTTAAATTTTTTTAAGCAAGTGCAACTTTTCAAGCGATGGCCTTCGAGCGGACTCCCTTTTATCCGACAAAACGCACTGAAGACATAGTAAAAATAGCAAAACTAGGATATTGTTTTAAGGATAATTAAAATGCAGATGCACCTGGGTAAGAAAAAAACGCAAAGTCAATTTGGCATGGAGTGCCTATATAGTGCTTACTTCATGTGATACCATTCAAAGTTCGTGTATACAAAGTAGGGTTATAATCGGGGCATGAGTTGAGCCATTTTCTACATGTACCCATTATTACCTGTGGTACGACACTTCTGTGGTATAGCGAAGACCCCAAAATTGCTATCACCTTTGCTCTCCTAACCACCACTCATAGGAGTTGTCGCATGGGTAAATTAAAAATTTTTCTATTCTGCGATGCTGACAGGAAACAACGTTGTGGCGTCTCGTAAATTTGCCTCTCAGGTGCTCTTTTTTTTTCACCCATTCTGGCAGAATTGGGGATTGAGAACAAGCGCACACGACAGACCTACACTCGCTACCAGACATTGGAACTGGAGAAGGAGTTTCATTTCAACAAGTGAGTTGATTGGTTTAAACGTAAATCTGACTACCGACTAATTACATCTTCACTCATCCACATTGGAGCATTTTAGTTGAATTATTCAATTGGCTTGGTTTAACAAACAAAAGAACCAAATCCACTGATTTTTTAACTGCGATTTTACTGTAAAAGGCTGCTTTTGGGGTAGGCAAGTAGTAAAAAGTCCCAAATTGTGTTTACGAATGACGTAATCTTTGGGCGAGCAGACGCAGTTTGAGGCGCCGGTGCTAGAATAAACCCAGAAGAATCGATTGATTAAGCTGACGGAGTTGGTGGTGGCATGGAAGAAGTCGGCACTGTAATGTCTGGTCCTTTGATCTTTTAGCTGCACATGCGAGAAACGCGCTGCGTTGTCGTCACGCTCGTTTATAGACATTGTCTGGGTAGATAGGTGTGTGTGTGTGTGTGTGTGTACACCCGAGGCGAGAAATACCAATGATAGTCCGGACGTGCCTATGTCCCGTAATTGGTAAGACCATTTTTCTCGATTAAGCTGAGCATAACACCACTTTAACAGGTATGACTTAGTCTTCTTGATTTTAAAGCGTAACTAAGGCTTCTTTATGAGTATGGGGAGACTGGAGAAGGGCGTGAAGACAGACTTACACAAAATGCTTGGAGTCTTATGACGGAAAACTTTTGTAGCTACTTTTGCTATGCACCATTCTATTGGGTAAATTTTATTGCGTTATGCTTTTTTTTGAATAGAATTTCGTTTCTTATTGTAGTTTAAATTTAGTACCATGAACAAATGGAATTAGCAAGTTTCTGTCGGTGTTTGTTTTGACTGTTTGTTGGGTTTTTCTAGACTCAAGGTGCCTCCACGTAGAGTTGTTGTTTTGATGCCTTGCAAATGTGATATTTGTAGGTATCTGACAAGAAGACGGCGCATCGAAATCGCTCATTCCCTCTCGTTGACGGAGCGCCAAATAAAAATTTGGTTCCAGGTAAAATCTAACAACGCGAAGGATAGTGATTGCTCAGTTTAGTCATTATTTTACTGCCACAAAACGACGAGTAGATGCAGTCAATAGACAGTAAGAATTTGTAAAGTGGAAACAACCCAATAAAGGTTTTGCTTTCAATATTTAAGAACCGCCGGATGAAATGGAAGAAAGAGCACAATATAGCAAAATTGAATGGACCCGGAACTCTGGAGCAATTGGAAATGATGGAGCAGGCGGCAAATGCATCAGCGGGTTCCGTGGACCGACCGCAGCCTCTGTTTCTCGGCTCACCATCGCATAAACCGCGTGGACAACACGGTTCGCATCATTTCGATTCAGATTCTAGATCAGTAGAGACTCCCAGCGATTCTGGAGCGCCTTCACAGCACATCTCTGACGTTCCTGTCTACCAGCGTCCTGATGTGCCTATAAATTGTCATTCTCTAGTGAATTCCTCCAATGATGGTGAAGAATTTGATGAATCTTGCGGCGAGGTATATGACATGCGCCAAGTAAAGAAGTTCAAACATCCTTCAGGTTCTCCACTCGATTTGCATCCACAAGACTATCCTCAACCAAAGCTCTCACATCCCAATCCCTACCAAAGTGGAAATCCTCCCGACAACTACAGTCAAAATCCGATTCAACGACAACACGAAACGGCAAAACCGATGTGATAGCCTCTAATTCCCTCTCCACCCTTCGTCTAACCAAAAAGAACCCAGGTTGTGCTTTTGTGTATCGCCTTGTGCACACCAGGTTCCAATTTCTTGCTTGAGTACGAAAATATGTCAAACTTCCCTTGCTAGTCACAACATAAAAATAGACACCGCTTTTCTAGCATTTATTCAATTCCATCTCATTAATAATCTAGTCACCACTTTCACTACCACGCATGCAAGGCAAAACCACACATTCAAAACGTGTCTGGACAGATTCATTATGTGAGTGATCCTTCGTCTCCCAAGTCCCCTACTCAACACGATTGTATATGTCCTCCAACTTGACCACCACCACCGCCGCCTCCTCCTCCTCCTCCACCACCACTACCAACGTCGGCTCCCCTTTTCCATCAGCCTAATCCTCTTAATAACTGCACTCTATCAACGTTTTTGATTACCCTGCCAAATGCACAACTCTTTTGAATGCAACAATACCAAAGAATACTTTTTGACGCGCTATTGCCTGCCCTTGTTAAATCTTTGGCGATTAAGTCATGAACAAAGTTTACCAAATTTATGCGCAAATTCGATACTACTCTTTCAAAGACATTCAAATGACAGAATTAGGCATTCCTATCAACAGCAACAAAAAATAACAATCAAACCTGTGTTGTGAATTATTGGCGTGTAAGAGGATTGACATTAAGCATTTTGGGATTTCCGTAAAACCTCTCACTGTCTTTATGCCTCCACTTCAAGATGTGTACGCATATAAAATTTGTTTTAATTTTCCGAATCCATTTTACCCAACGAAAATTCTTTTGCAAATTGAGTGTGAGTGTCAGTGTATAAACTTTTCCCAACCTGAAAAGTTAGCTCATTCTAACCGGTTGGTAACAATGGCAATGGCTAAAAGCTTGG